CTTCATAAAATGAATGGCTTTTTAATTGAATTTTCAGTACCCTTTATTCTGTCGGCTAACACCAGGAGGATTAAAACGCATCTTAATAACAGCGTGATCTGTGAGAGGAGCTGCTGACATACCACAGTCACTGATGGAGTTTATAATGGAGACAGAGAGTAACCAGAAATCTATTCTCGGCTTTGCTACGTTGTTTGGTTTAAACCATGAATATTGCTTCACGTTAGGATATTTAAATCTCCAGCAGGGATCCAAAAGATTGTGAGTGCGACAAATATCCATTAAAGCAGGGTTGTAACAACTGTGATTACATCTGGATGGACATCTATCAAGCCATTCATCACTAACCATGTTAAAGTCACCACCCGTAACTATAATCGCAGTGGGATGAGTGAGTTTAAGGGTAGCTATGACATTAGAAACATCCGAAATCAACTGTCTATTTTGAATTAAATTATTGAACCCATAAACATTGACCTGAATAAAATAGAGATCTTCTCATAACACAAATTAGCCAGTGACCATTATTACTAAATCAAGATGTCACTATTTTACCAGGTGAGTTACAGAACAAGATGGCGACACCTGCTGATGATCAAAGATGATTTTGTCACCCCATTGGTTTACCCAAAACTTTTCATCCTCTGGTGTTGAGTGAGTTTCTTGCAACAAAGTGAAGTGCGCTTTTTCACCCTTACAAAACAAAAATATTGATTTTCTCTTAGTGTTGTCTCTTAAACCCCTAACATTAAGTGAAATACACGAAAAAGAAACATCCATAACAAAAATAGAAAATTAACAACCGTCAGTAAATATAAATGTCCAACAGACTAAACTTTGATGAAAAGTGAGAAAGAGAAAAAAGCTCAAATAGGCAGTGTCCCTTCAGATTGGATTACTGAAACCATCCAAAAAGATCTTAAAGTCACTCGGCCTTTCCAAACCTTGAACAAAACAGGCCTCTTGATCCTAAACGTTACCTTGTGTGCTGCTAAGTGTCCGTTAATGTATCCAGCACCCCGTCTGAAGTATGCACGCTTTCCAGCATCTCTTGCTTCTCTTATTTTAGGCCACAGTGCAGCTCGGGTCTCCCTGTCGGCTTTGCAGAGGTCTTCGATGAAGCTGATACGAAGTTCTTTGCAGATCGCGTGATCCTTGGTCGTTCTCCACAACGCATCTCGATGGAATCTCTGAGTGAACTGAATTATGACGTTTTCTTCACGTCTCCCTATTCGATGAACTGAGTCCACAATCTGATTGATACTCGAGGACCATGATGGAGAGATTTTAACGAGTAAATCAGCGATCGCCTGACGTATGTCTTCACCTTTTTCTTTTAATCCTCGAATTCCTCCGGCGTTTGTATCGTTCTAGCATCAAGACACGCTCCGTTAGCTCCGCGCTGTCTTTCTTTACAGCCGACACATCACGAACAGTCGATTGTAACTGCATTTTACAATCTTTCATTTCTGCTGCATTGAACTCGACAGCCTTAGCAATGCTGGTCAACATGATGGAGTTATGTTGCAGCTGGTGTCTAGTGTATCCACCTTATCAGTTAGCTGCTTTATGGCTTCCAGGACCGTATTCAGGGCCGGCGCTCCGCACACGCACATCACGCACTGCGCGTAGGGCACCAAGTGCTTGGGGGGGCACCAAAAAATCTGGGTCGTGAAAAATCATCACAATAGGCTACTAGTATAAATAACAAATAAAATATGTCTAAAGCATGTTAATATACAAAGCAATACAAAAGTAATATAGGCCTAGACCAAATTAGTGGAGAAAAAGGTGAATCTCCTGTGCCAGTCTCCCTCTGGTGCCCCCCCCCCTCCCCACCTCGCAGTGGTATGTTCCTCAATCAGTGTCAAATTTGGCAGACACCTGATCGACATCAGACATGTGGCCTCGAAAAGGCACCAAGAGTCGGGGGCGGAAAAAAGGGAAAAGAAGAGACAGCGGGATGATACTCGTGTGCAGGTAAGACAATGTTTTAAATAAAAGTGTTAGTTTTGTAGGTGCCCTTGCTTCGTGTATGCATGTCCAGATGGGCGTCGCTAGTTGTGCAAATGATCCAGGGCTTTGCCCTGCATGTAGAATCTTTTATTTTAACGGGGGTCCGGGGGTTTCTCACCCGTGAAATTTTTTAACTTGGGCTGTTTAAGATGCAGTTAGTTTGTTTGAGAAGAAAAGGAAGACCGCTTAGATACGTTTTTTCGTCGTTGTTCTATGCGGATAATGCGGTCAAAGGCCCAAGGGCGACATCTATTGGCGAAACTGCAATTAGAGAAAAAAAAAAACACAATCTCAGTGTTTGTATATTTTCATATGGAGTTGTCAAATTATTAGGGCCGGGAAAAGCTTAATCACATCCAAAATAAAAGTTTCTACATGATATGTGAGTGTACTGTGTATAATATGTTTGTACATATAATATACACACATATGCACGTATATATTTAAGAAATATTTGCATGTATATACTGTATATATATAGTTAATTAATATCATATATAAATTAAAATATTTTATATATAAATTACAAATATTTCTTAAATACATGCATGCAAATGTGCATTTATATACACAAAATAATTATACACAGTACACACACATAGGCCTATATCATTAATGTAGACACAACAAACTTTTATTTTGGATGTGATTAATCACGATTAATCTTTTCCCAGCCCTACAAATTATGTACAGAATTATTATATTGTGCCTCATCAGACCCTTTTAAAGGTAGAATGGAGTTTTGAATTTTAAATGTTCCAGTGACACATAGGCCTATATAAAAGACTAATGTGTGCAATATTTTTGTATGATGGTAATTGATTCAGTAGAATCCCTGAATATTTTGTCTCGTATTTCTGAATGCAGGGTCAATGCTAAAATACATGCAAGGAGCAACTCAAGGCCAGGAGGAAGAACCATCAACCAGCAGTTGTAGCCAGTTCCAAATATGTGTTTTTAGTAATTGTGGTGGTTTTTGGTATTTATAATTTTAACCTTTTTATTATTTATTTCTTTTCATATTTGGTGCCATTGTTAATGTAAATGTATTTAATTGCAGCAGTTATTTTGGAACTAAAGAAAACCTAACTAAGAAATTCTGAATGGTTGTTATTCCTTGGGTGAGTGGGTGGTTGGGGAGGGGGGATAAGGGGGCACCACCAAGCATTTGTGCTTAGGGCACCCAAATGGCTAGCGCCGGCCCTGACCGTATTCATAGCTTCATTCCCTTCTGTCCCAGTATCCTGCTTTTCCGCAGCTGGTGTGATCTTTAGTGGTGAGAACGGGTCTTTTCTTTTAGGTTTCTCGGTGAATCCACCTCCATCCTTCCAGCATACTCGTGGTCGACAGATGTCTCGTTGCTGCGTGATAAAGCCAGATTCTTTTTCTTCGTTGTCATGGTGTACAAACTTTTCCGGAGGTTCCGTTTTATTTGTACATTTTGTAGATTCAAAAGGAGCACAATTGTGACGATCAGCAGCCGTGGTGCCCTCGAGAGCCACTTGAGGGCACTCTCTCCCCATGTTATGTTTCCCCATGGACTCTTTGTGTTTCATTATGTTCAGCTGTGTTTCATTATTGGTTATTGAGTTCCTTATTTTAGCCTGAGTTTTCCCTGTGTCCCTTGCGAAGTCTTGTTACCCTGTAAGCGTGCAATTCCGAGCGTTCTTCCCTGTTCTGTGTCTCCGTGTTTCCCTGGACTCTTGACCCTTGCCTGTTTCCTGGACTGTTCACGAACCTGTGCTGCCTGCCTCGACCATTGCCTGTTTAGACCACGAGTTTCTGGATTGCCCCTTTGTTTAAGTATTTGCCTGTGTTCATGTCCGCTTGTTTCAGTTTTAATAAAGTGCTGCACATGGATCCAACCGTCTCTGTCCGTACGTTACAACAATATGGCAATTTGGATAGCGAAATATATGGGACAGGCCTAGAGAGCTCAAACCATGCAATGCACCCGATCCGCCATCTTGCCCTCTCAACTCACTAATGATCTCTGCAATGGAAGTGAATCAATCAAAACTAACTTTAGCTGGACAATAACTTTATTCTAGAGCTGCTGTAAAACCAACACAATCTGCTACTGTAATTTCCTATTGTCACTGTAAAGCGGCTCTATATTGTTAAAGCGCTGTATAAGTGAAGGAGACTGGACTGACTATTGTGTAAAGGAACATGTTTCTCTCTGTGTGACTCTATAAGGCTTCAGTGATCAGAGGAAACAGGAGTTTTGCTTCTAGTGACGCAGTACGAGTGAACCGTATCGAGAGCCAACAGAAGAGATCACTTTACAACATCACCATTTATTCATTCATATTTCCCAATCACGAACTGTCCTTTCCTCTTAATGACTTTTGGCCATTTCACTTATTAAATTAAAAGTAGTCCAAAGTGAAGTAAAGTTATCAGGAACAACGAATTAAACCAACCATTAAACTGTTATAAAGTTTACAATACAGTATTTTTACAGTATGGTTATGATTGATCTGATTCTTTCAGGTTTATGTCACATTGCATTGTTCCACATTTGTAGATTGTCTTAAAGGTTAATATAAAATCATCTGCTTAATGACTAAATGTAATTATTAACATGATTGGATGATGACAAACTTATTTCATATCATACAGATGTGATCTAACAAAGTCCTCTTTATGATTTATTATCAGGAACTGTGAGTTTGCAGAAAGAAAAATGAAAGACAAAACTGAACAAATGAAGGCAAGGATGAACAAATAAAAAAGAGAACCAAAAGAATAAACAAAACAGAAATAATGAAGAAAAAAGGATGAACAGTAATAATAAATTAAGTAAAGAGAAGAGAGAGAAAAACGAAATAGGATAAAAAAGTAACACATAAAAAAACAATCTGTAAAAGACGTGAATGCTTTGCGCAAAACTGTACCACTTTATTTATAAAATATTAATCTCCAACCTGTCTCCAACGCGCGTTCATCTGCTCTCACGCATGCGCCGCGTGGTGCTCTCGTGAACGCGCGTCTCTCTCTCGTCACAAACAGAAAGTGAAAGTTAGTTTTCCTGTCGCCAATTGAGCTGGAAAAATACAATACGACATGAAAAACAGAGCATCAAGTGTTTATCAACGCTTAAGAATTAATTTACTTGTAGTTTTATGATGTTAAAGCTGGAGGATTTGAGATCCTGTATCTTGTAAAAGTTTGATCAAGGTGAGTGTTCGTGATTGTTTGTTTGATATAAAATCTTTAAAGGTTTTCTTTCACTCCAAGGTTTCTTTTGTGTTTCGTAATGTTTGTGATTCTTCAGAAGTTTATATGTGTAAACATTCATAGGCCAAATCACAGCTCACAGACACACGCTTTTTAAACATGAGAGTCTGTCGATGCGGGTCGGGGTTTGTTTTCTTTCACCCGAACATGTTCAGCGTTTCCGGTGTCCGTTATTTCCATGAAATCAAACGGCCGACTTGTGTGTGTGTGTGTGTGTGCGCGCGCGCGTGTGTGTAAAGGCCCAAATGGGCGTGAGTTAACGAAGTTATTACACGATCCCTTTTCTCACACACTCCAGATATGTCCAGATAAATTATGAAGGTCGTTTAATTTAATCATTTAATATTGTGTGTGAATGTTTCTTCATCAGAGTCAGTGGAGGAGATCAAACTCAACAGATTCTCCTGATCTTCATCATGGCTGATTCACAAGCATCCAGAGACGGAGATTTCTCTCCAGGACACAGGTACTTTCAACTAACACTGTTAAATATTGTGTCACATCTCAGAAAAATATCAGTTTTGTTTTGTGCCTAATTTTTCTTGTGTTTTTGTTTTGAAACTAACATGAATTATTAAATAAAACGATCATAAAGTTTCTTCAAAGTGCTTTAAGATGAAAGATGAATGTGTTTATATTAATATGTTTTGCGGTCTGGGAAAACCCGTCGGAAAACCCGTACGTTTTTTTAGTAAGGTCTAAATATAGATTGAATGTCAGTTTTTTTTTTTTTTTTTTTTTTTTTTGTCAAAATTGGGTTTTTATTAAATGATTATTCTACAACATCTTGTTTATCATCTCTGAATATATCTTTGGAAAATTCACTATTAGTGCAGAAAAATAGCGATTTATACTGGCCAGCTGACAAGACTGTGTTTCTCTTTAAGAACACGTACGGCAAAAAACAATATCTCCCGTTGAGCTCTCCTTCTCTTAACACTCCAAAGACAGTTCACCTATAAAAATAAACCACACAACAGAATAAAGTCCAGTCCTGGGTGAACTACAACGGCTGCACGCAAGTTTTATTTATTTTTATCCAGCGTTATCGTGTGGCGTGATGCGGAGCACAAGAGAACAGAGTTTGAAGCTGCTCGTTTAAAAGATCTTGCTCGCCTCTCAATCATTCAATTTCAAAACGGGTTTCACTGGATGAATTTTGAGTTCATAAGCTTTCGAATGATACCTAATCTATGATGATAACTAAAATATGTGATATGAAAAAAGGCAATAAATAAAGAGCACCAGTCGTCTCACTAGTAGGACTTGACAGTAAATTAAACCGTTTTTTCTCAATTCCGTTTCTGAAAATCACAGCGATCAGCCGACTTCAGATAACCACAACGTCTGTTACAGAAAAACAATAAAATATTATTAAATAAATAAAATAATAGGGTCTTAATAGGGTCTCAAATCCTGTAATATGTCAAATTTCACCATGTGGTGGGTTTTCCCAGATCGCATCACATATGGTTCCTCTCATAACGAATGAACACAGTAATGTAGAGGATTAAACTGAATCTGTTCTCTGTTCCAGTTCAGTCCAGCAGAAGAGCTCAAACCCAGAGTCCAGCTGTGTGTCTGTGAAGAGTGACTGGTCTATGGATAAGCCAATAAAGTTTAAGAGTGGAGACACACGGCCTAATCTCAGGTATATCATTTATATAAAAGATGTGCAATAGTGACACTTCTGAATTAGACTCATAATTGATCTTTGAATTAGACTCATTATCTTATATTACGGGACATGTAGGTAAACTACAAACTGGAAGGTTGGTGGCTCAATCCCCGGTTCCACCTGACCAAGTGTCAAGGTGTCCGTGAGCAAGACACCTAACTCAAGCTGTGTGCGTGTGTGTGTGTGTGTGTGTGTGTGTGTGTGTGTGTGTGTGTGTGTGTGTGTGTGAATGAGTGTGTGAATGAGTGTATGAATGATTGTGTGAATGAGTGTGTGAATGAGTGTTTGAATGAGTGTGTGAATGAGTGTGTGAATGAGTGTGTGAATGAGTGTGTGAATGAGTGTGTGAATGAGTGTATGAATGAGTGTATGAATGGGTGAATGTAAGGCAAAAATGTAAAGCGCTTTGGTGGCCATTGGGTCTGTGAAAGTGCCATTTCCCATTTATCTCAGTCAGTCTAACACTAGCAATGATATCAAGTAAATGTAAGCTGAGGTTTTCGGGACGGCGTCTTTGTTCGGCGAAAACCGTGCTTCGGATGAGATGTTAAACCGAGGTCCTAACTCTCTGTGATCATTAAAAATCCCAGGATGTCCTTTGATAAAGAGTAGGGGTGTAACCCCGGCATCCTGGCCAAATTTGCCCATTGGCCTCTGTCCATCATGGCCTCCTAATCATCCCCATATATACCAATTGGCTTCATCACTGTCTCCTCTCCACCAGTAAGCTGGTGTGTGGTGAGCGTTCTGGCGCAATATGGCTGCCGTCGCATCATCCAGGTGGAGCTGCACACTGGTGGTGGTTGAGGAGATTCCCCCTCTCTCTGTGAAGCGCTTTGAGGGCAGAGAAAAGTGCTATATAAATGTAATGAATTATTATTATTATTACTTTTATATAATGGAGTCGGTGTAAAATTGAGCAGATGTTAGTAAGCGCTGGTTCAGATTTGTTGAGAGCTTCACAGTGTCTGGTCAGAACAGTGATGTTTCACAGCAAGATACCGTTACTAGAGTATAGGCGGCGAGCTACATAGGCCTACCGTGCACCCCCCCCCCCACCTCCCAACAAAACCATACTTTTTTGAAAGGTCTGGATGTGTAGAATATGAATCTGAATGTTAACATTGAAAATTTTGGGTTGCACTACCTGTTTTAGGCCTGTGAATAGGGAAACCCTAAAAACGTTTTTAAGCGATTTTAGCATTTCGAGATTGGCCTAGTCAATCAGAACAGCTTTTAAGGGACCCAATACACACTCAAACTTAACATATGATGACTTAGGTCAAATATCTACCATGCTGCTTATTGGTAGGTGTCTAAAATTAACATAGTTAAGGCTTTATGTTGACATAATGAGCCCATTTCATGCATAGGCCACGACCATTCGCCTATCATACACCCCAACCCCCTCCCCTGACAAAATCATGCTTTTCTGAAAGGTCTGCATGTGTAGAATATTAATATGAATGTTAACATTGACATTTTTGGGATACACTACCTGTTTTAGCCCTGAATAGGGAAACTCTAAAAAACGATTTTAAGCTATTTTAACATGTCGAGATTGGCCTAGTCAATCAGAACAGCTTTTAGGTTACTCAATACTCTTACTATACTACATTGATAGTTACTTTAAATAGTTGTTTTTAATTATTTTTTATTTAATATAGTTAAGGCCTTGTATGGATATAATCGATCAAGGTCCATTTCCATAGTATCACTTAACATGCTAACATTCCAACCCTCATTACCCTTTCCATCAAAGGGGTGTGGCTCACAAATCATTTCATTGACAAATCAGAAACCTGTCTGGGTTGTTCATCCAATGACAAAATAAGATATTTGTTGAATTTTCATTAATAGTTTCCTCTATGTCAGACAGGTTTATAAAGATTGTCCTGAAAGACTGTTCTTACTCACACAGACAGATCCTCCAAGTCTGCATCCTCTGCCTATACAGCTAGAAATTTGTTTCACTGAATTGCTCGATGTTTGATATTTTAGTTTACAATTTAATATAATTGACCCGTCTTACTACACTACATTGATGCTTACTTTTACTTTTAGCATCAACTACATTGATGCTTACGTTTTTAATTATTTTAAATGACATTTGATAGATTAATAGATATATAGCCTACTTTATTTATACCAAAGGGAAATTTTAGACGTCCAGTAGCTTATTCACACACACACACACACACACACACACACACACACACACACACACACACACACACACACACCACCCACACACACATATCTCATAAACATAGATAATCTAGTCGGTTATGTAGTTGGTTTCTTCAACATACACTCTAAAAAAAATGGTGCTAAAAGTGGTTCATTGGCTTGTAATCATAGGGGAACCACTTTAAGTGCCATATAGCACTTTTCTTTGTCATATGGTGCTATGTAGAACCATAAGAGGTGCCATAGAGCATGTTAACCAACCCAGAGAACCACTGAAGAACCGCTGAAGAACCAAACTGGGCTTAGTGGTGCTATATAGCAGCATGACCACTGCAAAGAACCCCTGAAGAACCTTTTTTTTAGCTGAACTGCTCAGTTATGTCTGAGTCAAGACATGAGTCAGTGGGCCAGGACTGCAGGTCCTTCAAGGCATAGGGGATGTCATGGGACAAAACCAAAGTCCAGATGCATTGTGCATGTCCCTGGTCTTGTATATGGACCACTCATGCAATTATGGGCAAAAGCAGATTCTGATGCAAGATTAGCCAGAATGAAAGAAATAAGAGACGTGAGATTATCTGAACCACTGGAATCTGCTCACAGAATGACTGTAACCTGTGAACTTATACCAGACACCATTACAGAAGGTGATGGATATCACAGAGAATGCTAACAAAGATTCACCATGAATCTCAAAAGACTTGACCAGAAGCCTGAACTATTAGCAGCAAGTTCAAGGCAAAGTCAGAGGGCCTCAACTGGTCAAGTCAAGTCACATTTATTTATATAGCGCTTTTCACAATATAGATTGCATCAAAGCAGCTTCACAGTGATAACATAAAAGTAGTACAACAAAGATAAAATATATTGTTGAATATTAAATATCCCCGACTAAGCAAGCCAAAAGTAAGGCGACAGTGGCAAGGAACCAAAACTCCATCAGATTGGATGGAGAAAAAAAACTTGGGAGAACCCAGGATCAAAACCCAGGTTCAGAACAAAACTTTGATGAAAATTTGTTTTGCAGAATTAGAGGAAAGGATCTATTTGCTACAGAAGCTAAATACCACAAATCCTGTAGAGTCCAATATACACAAAATTTAGAAAAATGGAGAAGTGCAAACACAGAAAACAAGGCCAAACTAATCCAACTAGTAGAAGCTCACAGTGAGGCATTTGGTGCTGTATCCAAATTAGATGGAATTACAATGTTCATGTGATTGGGATTTTGGGATTAGGGAAGTTTGTGCATTGCAGATGAGCTTTGTAGATTTTGGTCATATCAGTCAATTTCATAATTTTGTTGCTGCCGATGATTTCCTTGTCAATTACTCGAGATACAGCACCAAATGCCTCACCGTGAGCTTCTACTAGTTGGATTTGTTTGGCCTTGTTTTCTGTGCTTGCACTTTTTTTTTTTGCTTGCACTCCATTTTTCTAAATTTTGTGTATAGGGTGACCATATTTTGATTACCAAAAACCAGGACACTCGGCCCGGCAAACAGCTGGGCCTACTCAAATGATACTCAAAGTTTACTCAAAGATACCTTATTAATTTCAATAGATTTAAAGTAGTTTATGCCTCCTCTGTATCAATAGAAAATTGTTATATTGTTATAAGAAAACAGGACATGTCCTGGGAAAACAGGACAGTTGGTCACCCTAGTGTATATTGGACTCGTGGTATTTACCTTCTGTAATGGTGTCTGGTATAAGTTCACAGGTTACAGTCATTCTGTGAGCAGATTCCAGTGGTTCAGCTAATCTCACGTCTCTTATTTCTTTGATTCTGGCTAATCTTGCATCAGAATCTGCTTTTGCCCATAATTGCACGAGTGGTCCATATACAAGACCAGGGACATGCACAATGCATCTGGACTTTGGTTTTGTCCCATGACATCCCCTATGCCTTGAAGGACCTGCAGTCCTGGCCCACTGACTCATGTCTTGACTCAGACATAACTGAGCAGTTCAGCTAAAAAAAAAGGTTCTTCAGGGGTTCTTTGCAGTGGTCATGCTGCTATATAGCACCACTAAGCCCAGTTTGGTTCTTCAGCGGTTCTTCAGTGGTTCTCTGGGTTGGTTAACATGCTCTATGGCACCTCTTATGGTTCTACATAGCACCATATGACAAAGAAAAGTGCTATATGGCACTTAAAGTGGTTCCCCTATGATTACAAGCCAATGAACCACTTTTAGCACCATTTTTTTTAGAGTGTATGTTGAAGAAACCAACTACATAACCGACTAGATTATCTATGTTTATGAGATATGTGTGTGTGTGTGTGTGTGTGTGTGTGTGTGTGTGTGTGTGTGTGTGTGTGTGTGAATAAGCTACTGGACGTCTAAAATTTCCCTTTGGTATGAATAAAGTAGGCTATATATCTATTAATCTATCAAATGTCATTTAAAATAATTAAAAACGTAAGCATCAATGTAGTTGATGCTAAAAGTAAAAGTAAGCATCAATGTAGTGTAGTAAGATGGGTCAATTATATTAAATTGTAAACTAAAATATCAAACATCGAGCAATTCAGTGAAACAAATTTCTAGCTGTATAGGCAGAGGATGCAGACTTGGAGGATCTGTCTGTGTGAGTAAGAACAGTCTTTCAGGACAATCTTTATAAACCTGTCTGACACAGAGGAAACTATTAATGAAAATTCAACAAATATCTTATTTTGTCATTGGATGAACAACCCAGACAGGTTTCTGATTTGTCAATGAAATGATTTGTGAGCCACACCCCTTTGATGGAAAGGGTAATGAGGGTTGGAATGTTAGCATGTTAAGTGATACTATGGAAATGGACCTTGATCGATTATATCCATACAAGGCCTTAACTATATTAAATAAAAAATAATTAAAAACAACTATTTAAAGTAACTATCAATGTAGTATAGTAAGAGTATTGAGTAACCTAAAAGCTGTTCTGATTGACTAGGCCAAT